TCTATGTAGTTATTGTGTGCGCACGTCACGTATCACATGTCTAGTTTGTTATTTCAAGTAGTGTGTGAATTGTATCTGAGCTATATTTAGATCTTTGTTTGTTAAAGTACTAATTATAAACATTTCACTAATTAAAATTATTAGCAAGAAGTTGGCGCACCTTTAATACGCATTTCTTTTCGTTCAAAATCATTTATTTGATTATTTCTAAATATCCGTACTTAAAGTTAACAAATCTAGATTATTATATTTTTTTTCTATTTCAACAATTATACTACAATTTCATAATCTACAAGTTAAAATTTAAGATATTGAAAAAGTCAAAACATTATGAAACAAATGTTTACGGATATTGTTACAAGTTGCATTTTGTAATCAGTTTTGTTGTTGTTTTGATATGTAAACTTATTTTATTGTAGAAAGTTGTGTGCTTCTTTGTTTAATTAGATATTTAGATTACAGTTAGATAAGTATTTCATGGTATAGTTTGTTATGGACTACGGGGATTTGCTGATCATTCTTAGTATCTAATTTTGAACTCGCTAGATAATATTTAGCTTTAGATATTACATGAATATAGAAATAATCAAAGTTTTATACACGAAATCGTATTTTATAGAGGAGTTGTGACGACATCTTCATAATGTAGTAAAAATAGTAGGATTTGAATATTTTTATTAGTAACTTTATAAGCTTTTGTGACTGAATACTATTCAGTGAATATTTTATTGTCCTTGAAAACCTTGAAAGAAGCATACGTTTCGGGATGTTTTGATACCATTTTCTTACATTCAATGTTTTTGAAGTTTTTTCCATTTAAACAATTTTTTAAAGTTTCTGTCGATGTTTCCGGTGCTAGTCGAAACACATGAAGGTGGCCTTCCTTACTACACCCGCGAGTGTAGTGCTCACATTCGTTCTTTTCGATTGCTTTGTTTTTACGTCTCTGCGATTTTTTTTTTCTGAACCAAAGTTCAATTTCCATCATTTATATCATTTGCTTTAATTGATTTTTCAGCTGGGATCGATTTGATAGGGAATTCCGTGCTGGCAACCGCATCCCGGAATGTTTCAGTTCTACGCTTGTCTAATTCCTTCAAAGCGGTTGCTACTGCAACACTCACCCGTTCCTTCGAGATCTTATTAGTATTGCCACTGTTCTCCTTAGTTGATTTGTATTTAGGTTTCTTGGATGCTGCTTTCTCAGTATTAGTACCAATACTGGGTGCAGTTGACAAAACCTCTTTTTCGTTTCATTTGGCTTTAATAATTGCAGCAGCAATTGAATTTCGTTTGGATAGGTTTGAAGTTCAGATTTTACTGTTAGAAAGTTATGGTGGATTGAGATAATTGCAATGTTATCGGCCTAATTGCTTATTAAACCAATCTATATAAATTGCAAAAAAACACATTGAAATCATTGGATATAGATACAATAGTTGATTGCAATTATGTGCTGAAAACTCAGTAAAGTTCAATCCATGCTGCAGTCACACGTTATTAGATACTTGTTATAATATTAAATTATATAGTATTAAATATTTAACGATCATTACTTGATTATGTTTTTATTTTTATGTAAAAATGTAATGATTATTATTATGCAATGTTTTATATATGAACTAAAATGTATTTTTTATTAGTGGGGTCCTTTTTGTTTTTTTGCTTCATGTGTTTGCTTAACTTATTTTGAAGTAAAACAAGTTTCATTAAATTGCCTATTAAATTTTGCCGAGCCATTACGTGGAAAACTGCCGATGTTCTGAAATATTCATGTTATATGTTAGTCATTAAATAATTTTATGGCACCTAAAGTTTTTTTTAACTTTTATGACATGTTTCGAATCTTTTCGCCAAGCTTTATTAGTGCATGAATAAAATATAAAAATAACATTTTAATGATTAACTCTAAATATTATTTTAAGTGTAAGAGTAAAATTGAAACTATACAAACAATCATTTATTGCACTGTAATACATTCGCCTCTTTCACAACGACAAATGTCATGTAGAGTTGCTTAAATAATAATAATAATCATTTCTAATATGAGAGTAATAAAGTAATAATATATTAATATTTTTAACTTCCCGAAGGAGAAGTTTATATTTTCATTAAAAAATCCGATTTGCTAATTTTATGTTTTTTCGACGTTTCAAGCCATTCTGAATCGAATGAGAACAAATTTGGAAAAAGTATGTGTGTGTGTGTATGTGAACAGATTTTTTACCGTAAATCGACGTTTTTTCAAAAACGGCTGGACCGATTTCAAAAATTTAAAAGCCCCTCGATGTATCTCGATGAGGACTTTTGTATGACAGTTTTGCGCGAAGATCAGCCAAGTCGTTTCTTTATATATATCAGAAAAGTGAAAAATGTTTTAGCCCACAATTCTGAATCGGTTTTGAAATTATATTGATATTGGTTGGGAATCGACCTGATTAGTTTTTGGTAAAGATCGGCCGAGCCGTTTTCTTATAATAAAATGTTAAAAAAAATCGGCTATTTTAATTTTTATTTTTTTTACGACAACTCGTTTAACTCTAAAAATTTGTCAAAGTTTGCAAAAATTATTATATTATTATTATCTTATTAACTTTCCGTAGGGTAGTAATAGTAATGGGCCGAAAAATGAAAATTTGTGCATTTCTCGACGTTTTGAAGGTTTCTGAACATATTGGAATACCTCAGAAAAAATGGATGTGTGTGTGTGTTTTGTATGTCCGCATTTTTTCGTCCACGTTCTAGGGCACACGGATCAGCCGATTTGAATGGTTAAAAAAACATTCGATTCCTATTGATAGGGAGATGTGCTGAATAGTTTTTGGCAAAGGCAAGTTTAGCCGTTATGGAGATACGAAGCAAACAGTGCAGGATATAGATATCGAGTTTTTGAGAGAACGGAGTATCCGATTTGAATGATCTAACTAGCTGTAAGTGAAATTCTGTCTTAAGGCAATTAAGGCATCATGCCTTAAGGCAAATTGCTGGAACTTCCCGTACCAAAAATTATTATTTTTTTAAAAACAATTAACATTTTTGAAAAAAAATTACTTCGAAAAAATTAGATTTTTGAGAAACTATAAATTTGACAAAAAATTACTTTTTTAAAATAAAATTTTTTTGAAAAGAAAAATGTTTTCTTCATTTTGACATATTTTGGAAATGCTGAACTTTTTTTCAAAGCAATCGTACTGCTTTAACTGCATAGAGACGAAATGTCAAAGCGCGCAAGTGCCGCGCCGCCGTCTAACGCATAAGCATTGGTACGGAACCCATAGGAATGTTAACAAAATTTATACTTATTGTTAAAATCTATATAAAATATCTCATAATTTGATGTGCATATGTCTAATGATCATTTTTGACCGCCAAATGGCATTTTTTTCACTTTTTTCATTAGATCTCCGAAACCGCTAGACCTGCCTTCATGAAAATTTGATCAATTCTTCATCTTGCCAATACAAGTAAAATGCTTTTGAATTATTCAAATCGGACGCTCCGTTCTCTTAAAAACTGAGTTACCGTGTTCGGCACTTTTTGCCCCATATCTTCGGAACGGCTAGACCTGCCTTCGCCAAGAACTAATCAGAACGTCTCTTTATCAATACGAATCGAATTTTTTTTTTAATTATTCAAATCGGTTGATCCGTGTTCCCGAAATCGTCGACGAAAATTTGTATCCGCACATACATACACACACGTACATACACACACACACACACATACATCCATTTTTTCTAAGGTATGCCAAAATATTCAGAAACCTTTGAAACGTAAAGATATATAAAAATTTTCATTTTCGATTTTTTTGCGATTACTATAACTTGCCCTATGGGAAGTTAAAAAACATTCAATTTTAAAGGCAGGTTTAGCCATTTCGATGATACAGAGCTAAATGTGCAAAAAATGGCAGTTTTTGAGAGAACTAAGCGTCCGATTAGAATTATTTAAAAAACTTTCTGCTTGTTTCAACAAAATAATTGCTTTTGAAAATTTTTTTTTTTTTTTTTCAAAAAAAATTTTGTTTTTCGAAAAAAATATTTTTAGAAATATTTAAATTGGTTATAGAAAATAATTCAGATTTTAATTTTAATTCTGTTCTAATATACTTTAAATAAATAATTTTAACTTTATAATTCAGTTTATAACTCTTATAAATATTAGACAATGTTACAATATTTATAAAAATCTATTTGATATCTATTCAATATTCCTCGATCATTTTGTTACTGTACGGGAAGTTCTAGCAATTTGCCTTAAGGCACGATGCCATACACCACTAGTTATTTCTAATATTGTTATTTTGTTAAATTTATTATTATCTGTCACTTATTGTTTTTATTCCACTTTATTGTTTTTCTAGTATTATTTTTATTATTCAGAAATTTTATTTATTAATTTTATTATTATTATTATTTGCTTTTATTTTATATTAAATCATCATACTAGGGATATCATTTTAATGAAAATACTATCTTTTATTTTGTACTCTTTTTATTTAAATTTATGTTATTGTTCATTATTGTTACTAGATGTTAAATTATTTAGCAGTTGTAACATATATTGTAATTATAAAAAATTAAATAATATTAAAGGTAAAAAGGCTTTGATAATCGAACCGGCAAACTGGCAACAAAACGATACTAAAATTATTTTGATACAAAATCATGGGATGGTACTATTCTTATTTTTCCATATGACAATTTGACAATGCGAGAAAATTATCAATGTTTCTTCTACTTTAAATAAAATAAACAATTGAGTAGGAGCAAATATAAGTTTCTATATAAAAAAGAACAAAAAATATTTATGATATCAAAGTTCTTCTTCGTGACATAGTTCTAGTTCTAGTTTTTTTTAGTCTTTTTGGAAAGTTAACGATCAAAAGGTACTAGGCTAATTTGTTTGAAAATGATACCCTTAATACTGAAAATAACGAAAGATAATAAGTTGCTTAATATTTTTGACGATTTACCTAAATTACTGTTTTCACGCACAGGAATCACTGGGACTGCTCATCTGATCTGGGTTGGCTGTCCAAGAAAGATCGTATCGAGGCGCAACGTGTTCAGGATAAAGATAAAATGATTTGTGCCGATGAGAAATATAAGGATAAGCCTTTAGTTCGTATATTAGACTATATACAGGTGAATATATCATAGTATTTATATCTTTATTTTTTTAAATACTATGAAGATAATAAAGTCTACAATATAGTCTGATGTAGAGTCAGCCTTTTTTCAGATTATCATTTTCCTATATTATCTAATGCTGTTTTTGTTAATGTGACTTTAATCATTCATTTTCAATTCAATTCAAATTTTACTTAGAATTTTTATTTCAATAAGACATTAGCAGCTCAGTGTCCACGCGGCATAAATTATAATTGCACATGCAAAATGGTGAATGCTGTTTGGAATCCCGAGTTAGAAGGCGATTTAATTCCTATAACAGTCGTAAATTGTTCTAATCTGGAGTTGCTAGAATTACCGGAATCCCTGCCCGAACATACTACAACTCTTGATGCATCTGTCAATAGGGTAAGTTTTTTTGTTTTTCTAATCCAGGAACATTACTCTTTATTAATAATGAGTCTAAATGATAATTTATAATAAAGTTATTATAGAAAGATTATGAAGTGATTATTTTCCGTTCATTTTTAATGTGTTTTTGTATCTATCAATTTAAGATATCTAGTTTGAGACCGTTGGCTGTGAATCCTGATTATAGAAACGTTGCTGATGTTTACGTTGACGATAATGATTTGTCTTCAATAGCTACTCTTGAAGGGGCGGAATGGTTGAGCACTTTCAGGGTTCTAAGTTTACGAGGCAACAGATTGAAACAGGTAAATTAATAATTAAAAGTTTCTTATTTTATTCTGAGAACATACCTAATTTATTACTAGCGATTTTGGGCTATTTCTTAAAACACTCAGTTGCAATCATTTCAGTTAAAGATGAATAATTTTGAAAAATAATTTATACTGTTCTTATGTAATTCTTTCTAAAATTTTACCAATTATTTATGTGAAGCGATAGCTTTTCGATGTTTTTATAGCCTTTCTTTACTTTTTATCACGATTCTTTTTTCAGACATAAATAGAGAAAATAAGATATAATACTTTCTATTATAAAGAATGTAATGTTTTGAGTATGAAATTTAATATTTATTGCTTAAACCCTTTCTGATTGAACATTACACAATAAATTAAAAATATTTAAAGACATATACAGACTTTAATTTTTAAATATCAATATTTTATCAATTTGTGGTGCAAACTTTCTGTCAAAATGATGAGTGGTAATAATCGTATTGAACTGTAAACTATTTTAAGGTTCCTACGTACGCATTGGATAACGCACTATCGAAGAATAAAAATGTGGCACAGCTTTACTTAGGAAGAAATCCATGGCGATGTGATTGTGTGTATATGCCGCGCTTGCAGGTAAATTTTATAATATGGCTTTATTTCAGTTGATATTTCTAACTAGTGGGGCGCATGGCAGCGTGCCTTAAGGCAAATTGCTGGAACTTCCCGTACCAAAAATTATTATTATTTTTTAAAAGATTAACATTTTTGAAAAAAAATTACTCGGAAAAATTAGATTTTTGAGAAACTATAGATTTTTGATAAAAATTTACTTTTTTTTGAACAAAGACTTTTTGAAGAAAAGTGTGTTTTGAAATATTTTGAAGATTCTGAACTTTTTTTTCAAAGCAATCGTACTGCTTTAACTGCATAGAGACGAAATATCGAAGCGCGTAAGCGCCGCGCCGCCGCCTAATGGATAAGCATTGGTACGGAACCCACAGGAATGTAAACAAAATTTATACTTATTGTTAAAATGTCTATAAAATATCTGATAATTTGATATGCATATGTCTAATGATCATTTTTGACCGCCAGATGGCATACTTTTTTACTTTTTTCACTAGATCTCCGAAAACGCTAGACTTGCCTTCATGAAAATTTTATCAGTTTTTCATCTTGTTAATACAAGTAAAATGTTTTTTAAATTATTCAAATCGGACGCTCCGTTCTCTTAAAAACTGAGTTACCGTTTTTGGCACTTTTTGCCCCATATCTTGGAACGGCTAGACCTGCCTTCGTCACAAACTAATCAGCACGTCTTCTTATCAATACAAATCGAATGTTTTTTGAATTATTCAAATCGCTTCATCCGTGTTCCCGAAATCGTCGACGAAAATTTGTATCCGAACACACATACACACACACATGCATCCATTTTTTCTAAAATATTCAGAAACCTCTGAAACGTAAAGATATATAAAAATTTTCATTTTCAATTTTTTTGCGATTACTATAACTTACCCTACGGGAAGTTAAAAACTAAGGCTGGCCAAATACATTCAGCCTTTTTTTACTTTTAGCATACCTAACATTATGTCGAGCTCCATTTTCATATATAAGAAGTTATATAGGGTAGGGCAGAGTACAAAGGTCCCATTTTACTTTGAATTATATTGTGAAAACACAATCAATTATATTAAAACGAAAAACAAAATCAAACAAACACATCTGACTGTATTCAGTGAAAACTCCCAGGTAGAAATGGTATTGTAGAAATGGTTTTGTAGGTTTGTTTTACCTCATAGACGGGGCAAACAAAACCAATGTCTTATTTTTAATTTTAAAGGGATTTTACGAAATAATAGCTACATTATTCAACCAATGCAAAATATAAATTTTTGGGTTCACTTTTTGCAGAGATAACACTGTGTATAACCTTGATTTGGTACGTCGTCCAAAATAATCATCAGTAGAGTTAGAATAAGTATTTATTTAAATCATTTTTTTGTAAAATTCTCTTTTTAAATTAATTTACTTTTTTATTTATTAATTTAAATTTTGGTCATTGTAACTCTTGCTGTCAAATATGACCAGTGTCTGATATTTTTTAATTATTTTGTTTTTTAATATAGGATCTTCTCCTGAAATACCAAAGCATCATCAAGGACATAGATCAAATAACGTGCAGATATGTCAAAGGTGATCTAAATTCTAATGCAAAGGTAACTCTCAGACAGTTTCATGTTGTATTTGAAGCGATAATGTATTATTTTGATTGAAAATGTTTGAATTTCAAGGTCATCATAAAATTATGATTTAAAAATAATTAGCCCGTGTCAATTTTGAGTAGTCAATCAACAATTGAGTTCAACCAATAATTCAATACATATTCATACTGCTAATACTAAAACTATTTTAAAATTTAGCTAAATTATTTTACATGTATTTTTCTTTTCAGATAAAATCTCTATCAAAAAGTTGCGTATGTCGTGCTGAGCCAGAGAAATGGTTTCGTCCTTTAGATCTGATCAACATATTGTTAGGACTGTCAATAATATTTGTTCTTTTAAAATTAGCTTACGATTATTATTATTTTAAGAAATGTGGTAGATTGCCATGGGTGATAACAAAACTCCCCTGAAGTTTTCAGGAAAAAGCATCGTAAATTATAGTTTATGCTTTCAGTATCTGAGAGGAAAATATTTACTTTTACTATTGTAGAATCATTTGTAGGAATAAGTTTCACATCACTAAATATGTTGTGCCAAAATAACTGATTTATCTGAGGCACTGTAAAGCAATTTAAGATCTGGAATATTTGTAGAGTAATCTTAGTTATCTAGCGTTTTTATTATCTTGCAATATTTTTATAATTTAAAATATAATTTTGAAACAAGTCTGATATTAGAAATGTTCTTCAAATCACTACTTACATGATATGAAAAATCATGTTTTTAAAGTATGAAAAAGAACTGTGATAATTATAAAAATAAAACGATTATTATAAATTTACTTTTAATAAATCATTTATACATATTATATAAATGTTTTTCTTGATTTGCAAAGCGCAATCTCAGACCTGCGTTTCTGTTTCTGTTGAAATCATACAAAAAATCATGACAAATAACTTTTATTAATATTTCGATATATCTGTAAGAGTAATAACGAAAAGCAAACAATTATGATTTTTTTTCGGTACTTTTGACCACCCATTCCAAATAATCGATAATATGTTTTCGCTCTTCATCGGTTAAGTTGATTGAAGGCATCTTGGTGCCAGTGGAATGCTTTAGAAAAGCGCACATTGTTTCTTCAGTCCAAATACCAGGATGTTTCTTCATCGAATCGGAGTAATTGTAATCTTTAAGGGAAGCAATTGGTCTGTTCATTATGCCATATAGATTGGGGCCAAACTGTAACAAATATTGCGATGGTTAACTGATCTTGTAATTATCTATCGAAAAAATAGTAATAGAATTAAATGTTTATAAAGATGCGTTATTACTATCTTTGTTCATTAATAATAGTCTTATTTATAAGAATCATATTTGATATAATTGATTTGCCAATTTTAATAAGCTCTACCTTAAGTAGTAATATAAAAAATAGGAAAAAAAATTAAAGACTAAAACGGCTTTCACAAATAACTTTTATTAATAGCAAACTTTAGGAATAAAGTAAAAGGTGATACAATGAATATTTATGATCTTATTCAGCGGTTATTTGGAGTTTTTGGTTACACATTCTAAGTATTTAATGATTTCTTTTTTCTGGTCGTTAGTTAGATCTGACATGCTGGGCATATTGGTGTCATCGGAATTTTTCAAAAATGCGCAAATAATAGATTCTGTCCAAATTCCTGGATGTTTCTTCATTGATTCAGAATATTCATAATCTTTGACAGAGCCGATCGGTCTTCCCATTACACCAAACAGATTGGGACCGGCCTGTAATGGAATATTATTTAAGAAAATACTTTACTAATCACTTCAAAAACATTATTTTATTAAATTTTTACAATAGATTTTCACTCGATTTTATCGAAAGCATGTGAAAAACTACAGATTCTATTATAGATTTGAATAATTTTATTGATAATAAATTTACTGATTATTATCAATCCCTTGTTGTGTCTTCTTAATTGAATAATTTCAATATATGAGAATGATCAAAAAAGTAAACAATGCTAACATGCCTAGAAATAATTTCATCATACTGAGGCCTCCGCTAAGTAAGCGATGATGTCGTTCCTGTCGTTAGCTTTTTTGAGTCCGGCAAATACCATTTTTGTCCCGGGAATGTATTTCTTTGGGTTTTCAAGATACTCAAATAAAGTCGCTTTGTTCCAAACGACTGATCGTCTTTTGCTCTCATCGGAATAAGGAAATCCGGGTGCAGTAGCACCAGTACGTCCAATTATTCCACCGAGATTGGGACCCACCTGTAAGGCAGGGGATGCATAAATTTTTAATAATAATTTATTATATATTACTTGACTATACGAAACATGTCAAATCTATTGGAAGCCGTTGGTTGAAAATAAAAATATCGATTTTGACAAGTCTTCGAATATGAAATAAAAAAGCGATTGCTCATCATAAAACAATTATTCAGAGTTTACATTAAAATAATATTGTGAGAATAATCGACATGTCTTTGACAAATACTATGCGCAGTGCTAGAATTTTTAAAATATATTCCTAGTCTTCTAAATAAAAATATAATGTAAGTGTAGCTAAAATTGTCAAATATGACCAATTTCAGACCATCAGAATCGATATTTTAATGCATCCCCGGCCTTATTTAATTATTGTCCTGTTGGATATACTGTTACCATATTATATATACCTCTTATATTCTAAAAACTGAATAAATTTACGATTTGCCTTCATAAATATGATAAAACAATTTAATTAAAAGTGTTTAAATTTCAATTTAGAAGTACACACATTTAGAAGTTCACGCACATTATTTCTAATTTTTAAGATGTATTAGATTTTTGGTGAATGTTTAATAATTAAATAATTTTTATAATTTGATAGCATTTCAAATTGTTTTATTTTACTACAATCATCTATAAACATTATTTTGCCTAACCTTATGTTTTCCACCCTTTTCAACGGTGTGACATTGCGCGCAACGTTGAATGAACAGTTTTCTTCCGTTTTCTGCGTTTCCACCTTCTCCAGCACCCATTTTTCTATATTAAATATTACTTATTAATTTTGTGTAAAGTAAAAAATTTTAAAATATTTTTTTGGGATTTAAATATTGATTCATTTGTTTTGACAGTGACAGGGTATTAGCATATTTGATAGTCCAGACAATATATAAGCATAATTATCACCAATAACTGTGAAGTACAAATTGTTTTAAAGAGATATATAATTAATATAATTTTAATTCCTATATAGATCTTTTTTTTAAATTAATTATAATAAAAACTCGAGTTATAGAAATAAAAATAGCAAAAAATATATATTATCGTCATAGTATATAGAGTACACTTAGTGGATATGTGTAGTGTACTGTACACATATCTAGTATTTCTACGTTTCAAAGCCTACAGATTATTTTAGCCATATTTTAGCATACTTTGAAAGAAAAACAGTTGGATATGAGTTTATGTATAAGAATAATTGTGAAAAAGATCCATATTGAAATATATCTATAATTTTTGTGCTATTATTTTTAGTGTTACTATATTTTAACGAAGACCTGTTTTTTAGTTTTAGACCTACACTTAATGCATATGTATTATAACGTCTATGGTTATAGGACAACAATATTGCCAACTACAATGCTAAATGTTATCGACATATTTGTGACCTATTGACAAAATATAATTTCTAAGTAAAATAGCCCGTCATAAGCATTGCTGCTTTAAAAGTAAAATATATGACCTATAGTATTTTACGTAAACTCTAATAATAAAAATTTATCAAATTTAAATAGGTCAGACGTTGGGTTGCATTCTAAAGAGAATGCAAAACCTACGGCTCATAGTGCTGTTTCATTGCTGGTCAAAAATGAGAATAAAACATTGTAACCTATAAAAAACAATCAAATTCAAAAATCTCTTTATAAAGTCATATTTGGGCTCTCCCTATGAAACTATTATTCGAGGTTCGTTACTTGCATTGGACCGCCTGATGTCAAGCAGTAGCGGCATCGATTTTTACTTCTAAATATAAATCACAATGTTTCCAGTGAAAATAGTCCTTACCTGCATTGATGCATCAATAAAATAAATCA